GGATGCAAACACCATGATGACAATTGAATTTGTGAACTTGTGCAATGGGAATTTAGATATATCACTCACTGACGAAATATTTTAAAGCTGGAAGGAAAGTTAAGAGTCATTTTAGTCCCTCTCCTTCATTGCATGGGAGAGGCGACTGAGGTATCAAGGATGACATTTCTCCAACACTGCACTAGACACGCATCTTCACAGTCTCCCACGCTACACACACAGATTTTGAAATTCTATGGCTATTGGAACCAGCATAGTTCTAGATCCTGCTACAGACATGCTGGAGTCCTGGGCTTGGAAAAATGGAGGGACAGTGCGCCTGGGCAGTGTGAGCACTAGCAAGTTGTCAGGCAGTGGAGCCTCCCAGAAGAGAAACAGCAAGCCATGGTCAGGCACATCCCACTGATGGTGCGTCTGCTGCAATACCCCCTTCCCCTTATGGTCACCACAAGGCCTGTGAGGGCCTGTACCAGCAATTGTATGTGCCACTTCCCTCCTGGCCAAATATACCACTGCTCTCTTGGGTCAGAATCTACTTTTTGATCTATCAATTGTCAATCTATTCAAATAATCCATAGAAAACTAGACAGAAAATAGGCAAGGATATAGAACTGAACACCACATTCAGACAACAGGATCCAGTCCATCCATTGATGGCAGGATACATACTCTTTTCAAGGCCATGGAGCATTTGCCAAAATAGACCATATCCTGGATGGCAAATCAAACATTAACACATTTAAAAGAATTAAACTCATATAGAGTATATTCTCTGATCATAGTGGAATCAGGCTAGAAATCCATAACATACAATAGGAATATGTCCAAGTACTTGGAAACTAAAAACACACTTCTCTTTTTTTGTACAGAAATGTTCACAGCAGTTTTATTCACAAAAGTCAAAATTTGGAAACAATTCCATTTCAAAACCTAAAACACAATGATCGATCTCCCTCTTCAAGAGTAAAATTTGGGAATGTTTTTCAGTTGAAAAATCACGTCCTTATTGGGATGAAAGTTCTCTATGAGACCAAGCTTGGTTTTTTTTGTTTTTTTTTTTTTAAACTTTTATTTTAACTTCAGGGGTACATGTGCAGATTTCTTATATAGATAAACTCATGTCATGGAGGTTTGTTGTACACATTATTTTATCACTCAGGTAATTAGCCAAGTACCCATTAGTTATATTTCCTGATCCTTTCCCTCCTCCAATCCTCCACCCTCAAATAGGCCCCAGTGTCTGCTGTTCCCCTACGAAACAGGCTTCTAAATAATTCATGAGTTAAAGCAAAAAATTTCAAGGGAAATTTAAAAACACATTGAACTGAATGAAAATGAAAATATGACATAACAAAATTCATGGGATGAAGTTAAAGAATTACAGAAAGGAAAAGTTCCTTACATAAGAAAATAATAGTCTCAAATCAAAGACTCTAAGTTCTACTTCAAAAAGAAGAAAACCAAAATAAGCCCAAAGCAAGAAAACTAAAGGAAATAATAAGTATAAAAGCAAAACTGATGTCATTGGGAAAAAAAATAACAGAAAAAGTACCACACAAAAAGTTGGTTCTTTAAAAAGGTCAATAAAATAAACCTCTAGCAAGACTGACAAAAAAAGGAAGATGCCACCAGTTACCAGTATCAGAAATGAAGCAGGGATATTATCATAGGTCCTACAGACATCACAAAAGATGATGAGGGAATATCATGAACAATGCTAAACACATAAATTTGACAACTTAAAAGAAATGGATCAATTTCTTGAAAAAATCACCACAACTTTAATATGAAAGTGATCATTTGAATAGACTTATTAAGGAAATGAAAAAAACTCCCAGAAAAGAAATCTCCTGGCCCAGAGGGTATCACTGGAGAATTTTATCAAACATTTAAAGAATCAACACAAACCCTTATATAATCTCTTCTAGAAAACAGAAGATGAGGGAGTACTCCCAACCCATTGTATAAAGCTCCTATTACCCAAGACTGAAAAAATAGTCCCTTAAACATGGAAATGCAAAAATCCTTAACAAAGTATTAGCAAATAGAATTCAGCAATATACAAAAGGAGATTTTTAAAAGAGTATTTTTTTTTTTTTTTTGAGACGGAGTCTCACTCTGTTGCCCAGGCTGGAGCACAGTGGCGCGATCTCAGCTCACTGCAAGCTCTGCCTCCCGGGTTCACGCCATTCTCCTGCCTCAGCCTCCTGAGTAGCTGGGACTACAGGCGCCGCCACTATGCCCGGCTAATTTTTTGTATTTTTAGTAGAGATGGGGTTTCAGCATGTTAGCCAGGATGGTCTCGATCTCCTGACCTCGTGATCCACCCGTCTTGGCCTCCCAAAATGCTGGGATTACAGACTTGAACCACTGCGCCTGGCCTTAAAAGAGTATTATTAAACACCATGACTAAGTGGGATTTACTGGATTAACCAGGGATGCCATACTGATTCAATATTTGAAAATCAATTAATATAATCCACCGTATTGACGGACTGAAGAAATAATCATATAATCATACCAACTGATGCAGTAAAAGGAAGCCTTTGGTGAAATTCAAGGCCCATTCATGATTTTTTAAGTATTGTGAAACTTTTTTTTAACGTATCAGAAAACTAGGAATAGACGAAACTTTCTCAACTGGATAAAGAACATGTACAAAATACCGCCAGCTAATACCACACTTCATGGGAAAAGACTGAAGGCTTTGCCCCTAAGATCTGGAACAGGACAGAGATGTCCATTCACACCACTGCTGTTCAACATAGTGCTGGGAGTTCTAGCCAGGGCAACAGGCAAGAAAAAATAAATAAAAGATACCCAGATTGGAGAGCAAGAATGAACACTCTCCCTATTTGCAGATGACAATGATGGTGTACATAGAAAATGCCCAAGAACCTACCAAAACAAAACCAAAGTCCCAAACTTCTATTACTAATAAGTTCAGCAAGTCAGAGAACAGACCAACATACCAACATCAATTGTATTTACTATAGTAGACTAACACAGGCAAAATGAAATGTGAAAATACAGTACTATTCACAATCACTCCAAAAAACAATACTTTGTCATAAATCTAACAAAATACATTCAGGACATATCTCTTGAAAACTAGAAACCACTGATATAATGATATAAGAACATAAAGAAGATCTAAATAATGAAAAGACCTATCATATGCATGGATTGGAAGATGCAACATAGTAGAGATGCCAGTTCTTTCCAGATTGATACCTACACTTAACAAACTCCTACCAAATCCCAGCAGGATTTTTCTGTAGTTACAGAAAAAATTATTCTAAAATTTATATCGAAAAGCATATGAACTCTAAGAAGTTAAGACGAGTTAATGTTGAAAAGGAGGAAAAAAGAGATTGAATTACTTGATAAAATTTGAAGACATAATACAGCTATGGTAATAAAAAATGTGGGTATAGACAGAGTGACAGACACACAGATAAAACAGAACGAAACAAAGAACCAGAAATAACCCACACCAGTCAAGTCAGCTGATTTTTGACAACTTCATAAAAGCAATTCAGTCAAGGAAGGATAGTCTCTCCAACAAATGGTGCTGGAGTAATTGGGCATCCATGGAGGGTGGGGGAAAATAAATTAGAACTAAATCTTACATTTTGATTTTATATAAAAATCAAAACAGTTAACAAATTAAAATGTAAGGGATGAAATTATAAAACTTTCAGAAGAACACAAAGGAGAAAATCTTCAAGAGCTAGGGCTTCATACAGAATTCTTAGACAATACTCTAAAAGCAAGCTCCATAAAAGAAAAATCAATAAAATTGGATTTTGTCAATATTAAAAACTTTTCCTCTGTGAAAGATGCTATTAAAAGGATTAAAAGCAAGCTAAGGATTTGACATAAAAGATCATACCTAGGATATATAGAGAACTCTCAATCTCAGCAGTAAGAAAATAAAATAAGATCAAATAATCCAATTTTTAAAAGGGCAAATAAGATGAAGAGATAATTCAATGAGAAGGATATACTAATGGCAAAAAAATAAATAAAAGAGGAGTTCAGTGTCACTAACAATTAGGGAAATGCAAATTAAGACAACAATGAGATATCAACCTATTAAATATATACCTATTAGAACAGCTAACATAAAAAATAGTGGAAATACTAGTTGCTGGTGAGGACACAAAGAAACTGGATCTCTCAGATATTGCTGGTGGAAACGAAAAATAGTGTATCCGCTTTGGAAAAGCGTTTGACGGTGCCTTAAGCAATTAAACGTACTTCTGCCATACAACCCAGCAATCGTACTCCCGGGCAGTTATCCCAGAAAATACAATCTTATGCTCACATAGAAACCTGTATACAAACGTGCTCAGTCATTTTATTTGCAATAGACAAAAACAGGAAACAATCAAAATGTTCCCCAATAGACGAATGGCTAAAGAAGCTGTGATACACTCATACCACGAACAAATATTCTGCAGTGAAAAAGAACAAACTACTGACATGTGTAACAACTTGAATGAATCTCAAAATCATTTTGCTGGGGGGGGAAAAAAAAAAAAGCCAGTCTCAAAAGGCCAATGATTCCACAGATGTAACATTCTCAAAGTGACAAAAAGTAAATAAATAAAAAGTAAATAAAGAACAAATTGAACAAATTTGAGGCTGACAATGGTTAGAAATTGGGGGGAAGGAAGCAGATGTGACAGAAAAGGGATAGCAAGGGGAATACAAGATCCACTTTCGCCTGATGAGTTGTTCTGTATCTCGATTTCAAGGATCGTCACATAAGCCTACATGGGGTAAAATGACACAGAGCCATGCTCCTGCATGGCACCAACGTCAGTTTCCTGGTTTGGTATCCCACTCAGTTATCTATTGTGTGACAAGTACAGGAGACCTTTCTGTACTGCCCTTGCCATCCTCTTGGAATTTACAATTACTCAAAAGTTAAACCTTTAAAACCTATCACTACAGAAGATTTTTCTATCGGAATAACAAGAAACAACACTCACTTCCAATATCCGGCCTCAGCTTTTTATCATATTCTCTTAGCAGCTTGTTGAGAATAAGAGTCACGTCAGTGTCTTGGGATTTTGGAGCCAAGACCCACTTTTGGTTTGCTGACGAATCTTCATATTCATCCTCTTCCACCTTTCTGGACCTGGAGTTATAGCACAAAAATGCGACAAGTAAGTGGCAGCAATGGCTCTAGGAGGAGCCTAAGTTTGTCCTATCCAAGTACCACGAAAGGGGTAGAAAGTCCCCAGTACCCACAGCCCAACCACACACGTGAAACCCCGAAAATTTTTTTTAAAAAAGAAACACAAAATAGGAATGATTGCATAGGAAGAACGCTACTGCTATTAACAAGGTATGTTTTTATTAAATGTGACAAGACCATCCCCCAACCCAGTTAAACTACAGACAACGTGGCAGGTAAACAATACCAGAGGGCTAACCAGCAGGCAACACGACCCTTGAATCCACCCCGAGAGACTGTGAAGGCCAAGGCACAAACCTTCTAGAGGTTTTCCATATGGTGATTGTATCATGTTGTTTCCACCCCTAACCATCAAGACCTCATTTTAGTTGAAGGTGAGATTAGCTTTTGCAGACTGGACTCATTCAAAATAGTTGAGTCTGACTCTGTGCTTCTCTTGGAGGCGGGAATCTGGGGGTCTAGACACTTGGACATTGTGAGGGGGTCTGCTTTGCCGGCACTCAGGTTGGAAGCAAGGACAGAGATGTCTGCTGGTGACTAGTGAAGACCCTCTGGCAATCTTACACGCCTCGGTCAACACAAACTGATTCATCTTCTGCACAGCAGGCTAACATAGACATGAAAAACTAAGCTTTCGAATACATCTTCAACATTCTGACTTCTTAGTAAATGAGTCTCAGTGAACGCCTGGGCATCTCTGAGCATGTTTTGTGCAGAGAGGAGCTGGACAGCCTACTCTCCCGGGTGACATGCACTGACAGGAGTGCCTGAATGGAGAGGCCTCGGGATGACCAGCTAGTTTTACTTCTTAATTTTTTTTTTTTTTTTCAATTTTTTATTTTTTTGGTTCTGCAGTTTTCGGGGTTTTTTTGTTTTGTTTTTTGTTTTGTTTTGTTTTTTTGAGACGGAGTCTCGCTCTATCACCCAGGCTAGAGTGCAGTGGCACAATGTCGGCTCACGGCAAACTCCGCCTCCTGGGTTCACGCCATTCTCCTGGCTCAATTTTTTGTATTTTTAGTAGAGACGGGGTTTCACTGTGTTAGCCAGGATGGTCTCGATCTCATGACCTTGTGATCCGCCCGCCTCGGCTTCCCAAAGTGCTGGGATTACAGGCGTGAGCCACTGCGCCCGGCCCAGTTTTCGGTTTTTAAAAAAAAAAAAAAATTGGTTTATAATTGACACACACTTGTACTTGACAAGCTGGTTTTCTCAATGAGTGAGGCCATCTCAACACTATAGTCATGTGGGCTTAGAGAGCGGACAGTCTCTTTCTGCCTTAAAGCAGCATTTCCAGGCAGACTACTGTTGGCCCCAGCAAGAAAGCATGTGAAATAAACCAACCTTTTCCTTCCCAGTTTGTCAGTGTGCATGCTTTAATAACTTTTTATTCACAGAAGAGAATAATAAAAAGAATTGAAAACTGCACAGAGGCAGATTTGTCCTGACTAGATATGAACTCTTTTCTGTTTAGCTTCCCAGATGGGAGCCAGAATGTTAGTGTCATGTCAGGACACTTGTGCTCTGGGATGTAAGTTTCTTGAACTTAATTTTGAGAATTGTCTAAATTATCTATAATTCACAAGATGTTAATTAAAAAAAAAACTTTCACATTCATTTTGGTACTGAATTTAGGTCTTCATATATACACATATGCATACTTATGTAATATATACATGAGTCTTTTAAAGTGTGTTAACTAGCCATAATGTAGACTAGAGTGTTGGCCAGATAGTCTAAACCTAGATGAGCATGTACATAAATGAGAGATCTTGACAATCAGTATACGGCATATGTCTCAAAGAATGACTTCCCCACTTACATTTTTCCTAGGCTGATCTTAAACTGTAATTCTATTTCTTGAGTACCTATTGGCTAGAAGGTTAAATTAAATCATCCACAGAAACTATAAATTGCTGTTGATTTTTATGCACATTTGATATTCATGATCGACAGGAACTTTTAAATGTGGGGCACATATTCAGTAAGGAATATGTTGCATTTCATTATTTATAAAAGTGAACATTTACAAGTAATACTACAGGATTTTAAATGTTACTCTAAAATATTTCATGTCATCTGGCCGGGCATGGTGGTTCATGCCTCTAATCCCAACACTTCGGGAAGCTGAGGTGGGTGGGTCATCTGAGGTCAGGAGTTCAAGACCAGCCTGGCCAACAGCGTGCAACCCTGTCTCTACTAAAAATACTAAAAAAGTAGCTGGGCATGGTGGCACATGCCTGTAGTCCTGGCTATTCGGGAGGCTGAGGCAGGAGAATTGCTTGAACCCAGGAGGCAGAGGTTGCAGTGAGCTGAGATAGTGCCACTGCACTCCAACCTGGGCAACAGAGTAAGACTCCATCTCAAACAATAATAATAATAATAATAATAATAATAATAAATTTTAAAATTAAAATATTTTGTGTCATCGGAAGTATTATCAGAAATGTTAATTTTATCATCTTGCAAAATTTTTTTAAAACTTAAAGAGCAGGTTGAAGCATTTAGATAGCTGGGAATCAAGCACTGCCCACAGGACAGGGCAAATCACTACAGAGCAAGGGCATCTGGAGCAGTGAGGAGAGGCTGGTAGCTCATCTCAGCAGAATCTGGCACAACATGCTCAGGACACTTGGTGATTCAGCCCAGGTGCCTTCCTCCTTCCCTCTGCTGTCTCTGTCTCTTCCCCTCTCTCTTCTTCCCTTCCCCTCCCATTCTCCTCCCGTCTCCTACCCCCACCACTACACAGCCAGACCACAGACTCCACACTCTGTTATTGTCTATGGCCCTGATAGTCACATACACACAAACCGAGCACAGTAACCAGCTTTTCATCATTCTCTGTATATGCAGCCTTCGTTTTTGAAAATTACTTCCAGCTACCTACAGGTATTCTAATAAGCCTAATTCTCCCTCTAGTGGTGATGAGAGGGTTTTCCTGAAACTGCAAGAGCTTCCTCCTTAGAGGCCAGTACAGGTGGCAGCGAGGGGGACCAAGAAAAAGAAAGCAGAAACGTTCTCTTCCACCCCTTCAGGAGGCATATCAGGGCCCCAGCTGTGTAACCTGGTCGGGTAGGCAGTGGGAAGAGTGAGGCCGAGATGCTCTAGGTCCCTGGGCTGTGAGCACCCTTCTCCCTCAAATCCTGAAAATGAAATAGAAGCCTCACATTGCTAGTGCCAGACCACCAGGCCCACAGGAAAATCCTTGCTTTGATGAAAACGAAATCTCTTCTCAGAGGACCCATTAGAATGTGGATAATATAGAAATATTTTCTTTCCCTAAGTTCTAAGTGAATTATATATAGTTTTTATGAGCACTGTTACTTGCATTGTTGGATCCTAAACACCATTACTGCAATTAGCTTTTTCTTAAAAATAAATCAGTGATGTATTGTCATTGTCAAAAAACAACTCAACCCTCAGATCTTATCTTCATGTCTTACACCTTTGCTTAAAGCAGAAGGACCGAGAAAAAGTCTGAAGTATTTTTAAACATTAAAAGGAGTTCCTAAACCTCAGAAAGCAGTTAAGGCATCACCAAGGTCTGAGTGGGAATCGGTGCGTTTTATGAAGCCCATGGGTGTCAAAATGGGGAGCCCCCCTTCTGGGGAGCTGCTGAGCCATCACCACAAAGCACAGACATCAGACCCTCATCCAAGGAACTTCCACAGCAGGAAGGAACTCAGAGTGCAAATGAGAACCCCCTCCGAATTCAAAACAGTTTTGAAAGATGACACTGCACATCAGATTGCTTCACATGTCTGTACAACCCATTCAGAGAACAAAGACACTCTCAAAGAAGAGGCATATAGCAATAAAGTTAGTATAAAATTTGGATTTTTTAACTGATCTGTAAGTTCTATTATGAAAGCTGGGAAAACAACCCAAATACAGAACAAATGAAAATCATTATGTCTGTCTTCGCAGAATGGAAGGATGAAGAATCCCAAGAGATTCTGCGTATATTTGGGAATCCCCAGTAACCGGACTGTTTTAAGGCAGAGGCTAAGGTATTTTCCTACTAAGCACATGCAGTAGTGAGGACGATAGTCTGTGTTTCTTTTAGAATGTTAAGAATCCAGAGATCTAAACAGTTGATTACTGAACCCGAAGGGCTGGTCGCTCGTTTGAGCTGGTGGCAATAGAAAGGTGGCAGAGATGTGACTGCTGGCCTCAACGCTATGCCCGGTGCTGTCTACCTCCCTCTCTGCCTCTAAACAGAGACACAACCAGGAATAAGCAACCTCAGAAAGCATATCTCCATTTCTTTCACCAGCTGCCTCTTTAGATAGAAAGAAACTTCAGCTGAAAGGCCCAAGGAGTGCTCTGTCTCTTTGAAAGAGTTGCCGGTGAGTCACCGGTGGAGTCGGCTTCCACACTCAACTCAGCAAAGAGGAGCAGTGGTAAGGGGGAGGGCCAGGGCTTCCTCCCTCAGGGTAAGCTCCTCTGCCCAGTTCAGGAGTGAGAACTGGGGGCCCCTTGATGTTTAGTAGGATTTATTCATGTGTCTTCCTAGCTCCTTGAGAGTTCACAAATATGAATGAAAAGGCCTGATGGTGGCCAGGCTTGTGCGCGCAAGGACGCCCTCTGATTCTCTGGCTCCCAGAGCCAGGAAATGGAGAAGCGTCAAAACAAGAGGGTTTAGGGGCTAGGGGCACGCTGAGCTTCCTAGGGTGGGGAAAGGGGAAGGCCAGACACTGCTCCGATTTTTAAATCACAGGGCAATCGGCAAGTTCTAGCCAGAGATCCAGCCAGAGAGACAGAATTAAAGAAACTAAACCCAGAATCTCCAGTTGTGTTTACAGCAACAGGGTTTAACCCTTTGGGTCCCACTGTCTTCGTATCCTCATGCGCCCTCTTCGTCTCCTCTGGAGTGATTCTAAGCTCCCATCAGCTGGCTGGTGTGCTGGGAGGAAGGTTGCGGAATTTATGGTGAGATAATTTCTTACATTACCAGGCAGAAGCCTTATTATCCATTTCAACATGCGTGCTTTATGGGGGTGGGAGTGCGTGTGTTCCTGTGTGTGAAAGTGGCTGATCTGGAAGGTAGGTAGGTGTGCCTGTGTGTGTGTGTGTGTGTGTGAGAGAGAGAGAGAGGACCTGGCAGGGGAGTCCTCTCAGACAAGCCGGGCTTTCTGCTGCCCACCTGGTCCCAATTCCCCCGCACCTGCCTCCAATGCATTAGCTCTTTCCAGCCCGGTCTAAACTGGGCAGTTAGAACCACGGTTCCCGGGTTCTTGGAAATTTCAGAGTGATGGAATTGACAGAGAATGTCAGCCAAAGTGTGTGTGTGTGAGCGCCCCTGAAACAGCTGAGGTGGGAATTAGGGGTCGGTAAGGAGCCAGAAATGGCCCCTGCCCCATGATCCTGGTTTTCAAAACCCCTTAAAATCACCAGATCCTAAAGCCTCAGGAGACGAGCCATTAATGTGAGTCCCCACACTCCCGGCTGCAGAGGAGAAAGCAGACGACCGCGTCTGAGGGAGCTGGGACAGGTGAGGTGTGGGCCGACTTCCCCGTCCCCTCCCGGCCCGCCGTGCCGCAGCCCAGCCGACGGCTGGCGCGCCAGGGACTCCGACAGACAGCGCCCCCCGCCGCCCTGTCGCCCAGCTCGGGGCCTCCGGGGATGCGGCCCCCGCGCCACTTACCGCGCGTGCAAGCCCGAGAACAGGCAGAGGAGGAGCAGCAGCTTCGGGGCCATGGTGCGGTGGAGCTCGGGGCGCAGGGTCCGGGGCCTCGGCCGGGCGCGGCTTCCTGCAGCGCGGACCTGGTCCCCGCCGGCCCTCTCTGCCCCGGCTTCCTCCGAGGCTGCTGGCGGCGGGCGGGACAGGAGTCTACTCCGGCGCTGGCCGCGCCCCCGCGGGGCGCACACGGGACGCACACGGGACGCCGGCCCCCCGCGGCGCGCCGCCCCCGCCCGCACAGTGGCGCCGGTCCGCGCAGCCGGGTGGGGGAGCAATGGGCGCCGGGGACCCCCTGGCGCGGCGCCGCCCACCCCGCTGGAGCAGCGAGCGGGCGCGGGTGCCCAGGCCGGGCTGTGAGCGCTGTGCGGTCGCCGCGCTGAGAGGCGGGGGCAGGCGGGCGGCTGTCCTCTGGCAGCGCCTCTGAGGCGGTCCCGGCGGGGAGGAGTTTCCCCAATTACACGCCTGACAACGCGCAGGGCGAGGAAGGCGAGGTTTGAATGGACTCGGAGTTTGAGGCCAGGAAGGGGGCGGAGCTCCGAGGGGGAGGGGAGGCTGGGGATCCCGCAGGGAGCCTGAAGAAAGGTCCCCGGGGTGGGCACCTTGAGAGCCAGCCCGCGCTCCGCCTTCCTCCGGCCGTTTCTACCCAGGGCAGGTTTCCTCCAGCGCTGCCTGACCTCCCGTGGCCGCCGTCGCCCAGGGTCGAGACGGTTTGCTGAAAGCAGCCCTTTCATCGCACTCTTCGTGCTAAGTCGGCTGAACTCCTGGCCACTGATAAGATTCTGTGCTTGGAAAGGTGGCTTTCTGCGGGAATATTTGGAAAAAAGCACTCCAGATTTATGCCTTTCTTACAGAAAAGAGAGACTAACACGTAGCAATAAACAGTAGAGGTGGAAAGCAATATTAAAGGTAGGAGCTAGGTAGATCCTAAGGCAAGAAACCAAAGACATTCCGTTTGGCGGAAGCATGAGGTGCGCCTCATCCCATGTATTTTCATATTCCGAAAACCAAAAATGGCATTTACGATTTCATTTGTCATAATCATTCAGAAAGTTAGTCTTACACCATGTAACTATTGCAATCTCAACAGTGTAGTAAATCCACTAAGAATTTTACATTTCTATCACTCCCAAAAAATTCTGAGAAAATATTTTATAAGTGCTATTCATAGATTTATGTAAGGGTGTGATAACTGTTTCTTTAATATTGTCAAATAGCTTTGTTCGTCCAGACACAGTGGCCCACGCCAGTAACCCCAGCACTTTGGGAGGCCGAGGCAGGCGGATCACTTGAGCCCAAGAGTTCGAGACCAGCCTGGGCAGTATGCAAAAATGCTGTCTCTACAAAAAATACTAAAGAATTAGCTGAGCATGGTGGCATGGGTCTGTATTCCTCTGGTGTGCTCCCCCTCGTTTCTGGATAGGCATGAAGTGGAGTGGAGTGCAGTTGTTAATGACAATATTGTTTTTCAACAATGGAACTGTCATCTCCCTGGCATCACCTTTGTGTCTCTGTGAGATGCTGAACTCGCCCAGCTCCCCCCTTTCCAGGACTCTTTCTGGCATTCTTACCTTCCTCTGCCCAGCACATCCCTCCTACTTAGGTGTGCATGGCTTATAAGGTCCCCTCTTTCATGAAGACTCTGACGCTTGCATTCTTCCACCTCCAACACCTGTACCACAGCTGTAGGCTTCAGGGGAATATGAGCATTTATCATACTCTGCCCTAATCTCTAATTTTCTGTGCCGAAATCTGAGTACTTTAAAAATCAATTAGATGATGATTTATTGTTCCTTCATTGCTTATAGAAATATGTCGTCTCCACATAAGAGATGAGTCTCACTCTGTCGCCCAGGCTGGAGTGCAGTAGTGTCATCTGGACTCACTGCAACCTCCACCTCCCAGGTTCAAGCGATTCTCATGCCTCATCCTCCTGAGTACCTGGGATTATAGACACCCACCACCACACCTGGCTAATTTTTGTATTTTTAGTAGAAATAGGGTTTCACCATGTTGGCCAGGCTCTTCTGGAACTCCTGACTTCAACTGATCTGCTTGCCTCGGCCTCCCAAAGTGCTGAGATTACAGGCGTGAGCCACCGCGCCTCAGTGTGCTGCAAGAATGCTGCAAATAGAAACAATTTTTTTGTGCTTGCCTTCTTAACACAATAATAGGAACATAAGCAAAAATAATCATCCGACATTGATCACATAAGATGGGCCAGGGCAACTCTCATAACATTATTTCCGTTTTGCATCTAGAGAAAAAGCACAGAGAAGTTAAGTCACTTACCCCAAGGTCACACAGCTAGTAGACTGAGGATGTTAAAAGTCAGGCAGTTGGCTCCAATGTTTCAGTCCTAATCACGATACCATACTGCCTGCCTGAGGAGGAGCTCAGCAGACATTTGTTGTTTGGCTAGTTGATGAAAGTTTTGGACTCCTTACCGTATTATTTATTTTTTTGAGCATGAGTTAAAATATTCACAAGTTGTTTATAATATAAATAGACTGTTACTTGAGTGATTTTGTAAAATATCAGTAAATAAGAAGTGTCCTAAGATTTCTTGTTACTATTTTTACAATTCAATCAGTGGACGAGAAAATGCAATACCGTTTTTACATCCCTGTGCTCTTTATTCTTTTCCTTTCTTGCATATTTCAACGTGCTATTATGGATGAATGCAAGGTGATCCCCTCTGGCCTTTGGAATGCTTTGCTTCATTTATTAGACTGAGTAACTCAACTTGATACGTCTGAGCATTTTACCTTGGAAAACCCCTCCCCTCTTCCTGGAACGAGATTTTGTTTTTTAAAGCTAAATGAACTGAAAGGTTGGGGAAAAATCAAAGCAAGCTTTCTAGGCGTTAAGTGTGAAAGCAAAATGCAAGGTTAAGACTGTTCAAAGCAGAAGCCACAGGCTTTCATGTAGCTCCCTTGCCCCGGTCGACCTGCGGGGATGCTCTGCGGAGCATGCGCAGTGCGCACTCTCCAACCCGCCTCAGCCTCTCCATCTTCAGCCCGGGAGAAGCGGGCGGGATTTACACTTGCTCCCCCTAGCTCGCAGGAATAGAAAGGGAAATAAAAAGTAGGTGAAAGCGAGCGCCACCAGAAGACTGGCTGTTAGTCCTAAGAGGTTAGGTAACGAATCGGTGCTCAAAACCGAAGCGCAGACGCGGCCGTAATGACGCAACAGCTCCAGCCTGGCGCGGCTTTGCTCCTGGCTTGGCGCTGGGTCCTCGGTTCTGGAGGTTCTGGGGAAGACCTGGGCTGCCCGCGCAGCGGCGGGTCGGGCTGCACCTCGGCGGGGGCGGCGGGACCCTGGCAGCGTTGCCAGGAAGCGCCTTTCAGTTCCCAGGCCACGGAGCCGTCCGGCTGCCCACGCGCCCTTCACCGCGCATCCGCTGCTCCGTGGCTGCCCCGAGTTCTGCTTTGAGAAACATCCCTGCCACTCCCAAAACTGTACTTCTGGGCTACCTGATGTTTCGTAGTTTCATATTTTGAAAAAGCGCCTTTCCCTTGTCAATCAAAACAGCACCATCAAGGGATAATGCACACACAACAAAAATGCACCAATCTTAAAAGTATGGCTCAGTGAACTATTTGGCATGTGTATACCGTATGTATATGAATAGCATATGTATAGCACCTGGATTATTATACATAACAAATACATAATTATGTAATTCCCAGTGGCTGGGCCATCTTCAAGTCAGTACCGATACTGGGTAACCAACTATTCAGCCTTTGGCCACAGAAGCCTGGTTTTGCCTAGTCTTGCACTTTGCATAGATGTGGTCATGCAGTACTATCCATTTAACCTCCGGCTTCTCTCACGCAGTGCAGTGTCTGTGAGATGTACCCTTATCGCTACATTACCAGTCATTCATTACTTTTTACTGCTGTGCATGATAGTTCTTGGTGTGAATACACCACACGCTATTTATTTGTTCCTATGCCAATGGATATTTGGGGTGTTTGAAACTTTGGGATGTTATGAATAAAGCTGACATGAACACTCTTGTCTTTTGATGGACATATGTATTCATTTCTCTTGGTTATCTGACTGAAAATAGAATATCCAGATCACAAGGAAGGCAATGCGTTTAGTGATAATAAATATTACTACAGAGATTTCTAAAGCAGTTATGTTTATCACGCATTGACCATGAATGAGTTCTGGTGTATACCCTTGATGAAATGTGGCCTTGCCATTCTTTTTGTCACCATTCTGATATTTCTTTATTATTATTATTATTAGACAGAGTCTCGACGATCTTGGCTCACCGCAACCTCCGCCTCCTGAGTTTGAGCAATCCTCCTGCCTCAGCCTCCCGAGTAGCTGGGACTACAGGCCTACATCACCATGCTCAGCTTTTTTTTTTTTTTTTTTTTTTTTTTTTGTATTTTTACTAGAGATGGGATTTCTTCATATCAGCCAGGATGGTCTTGATCTCTTGACCTCGTGATCCACTGCCTCGGCCCTCCCAAAGTGCTGGGATTACAGGCATGAGCCACAGCGCCCAGCCTGCCATTCTGGTATTTCATTCTGGTTTTGATTTCATAGAACTTCTTTCAAATTTTTACCAGCCATTGGAATATCTTCTTTTATGAAGCGTCGTTTAAGTCTTTTGCCCATTTTAAAACTAGACTGTTGGCCTTTTTATTTGTAGAAGCTCTTTTTGTGTTTTTATGTTTTTGTTTACCGTTACACCTATTGCTTTAATACATACCGTCAATATTATACAAATACATGATTTACAATATCCCCATTATAGCAAGACAAAGAATACAGTCATAAAATAAAATGTCTTTTAGGCATTTATTATGCCAAGCACATAAATTATTGTTCTCATTATGACATAAGAATAATACTCTTTTGGTGACAAAAGATATATTGTATTAGCTCAAGGTCCACTGAAGAGCTTCCAGTAAGTTGGAAAGTAAAATCTGGCCATGTTTTCTATACAATAAATAGAACAGCAACAACCTCTGCTATCCCTTAAGCATAAACTATCCCTTTACATAAACTTAAGTAAATGGCTTGTTACAAATAAAAATAAATAACATCTTAGAAACTAGTTAACATCACTGGGCCAAATGTGGTATTTACTTTCTTGTGTATGTCTAAGAAATTTCAACATGAAGTATATATTAAAAATTAGCAATAATTTCTGAGATATACATGAGCCAAGCTGCTCACTCTTACTGTGGAAGCAAAACTAACTTCTGAAAATAATCTACAGAAATAATACATAAACACATAGAGCTTGAGATAGACTAAGAACATCCTTCTATGTTCTATGGACCAAAATACAAAGTTATCCATTACATATGTAAATAAACACACTTCCATTAGTTTGGAATATATTGATATTACATGACTATGTGTATATTTTATGTACACCATAAAACAAATGTTGACAGTGTTTCCAGTGACCACATGCATTCTAGCCCCAACTACTGGAAAGGGTATAAAACCTTAATAAGGAAACTACTTTGCTTTGCTTTAACTAAAGTTTTTAAGTGAAAAACAAAGCCAACACTCCTTGTTGCATCATGGACTGAGGTCTAAAATGTTCACAGTCAACAATCTCTTTGGTTGTTCCCCAGTGTAACAAAGCACATACGCATTCTCTCTCCATTCACAAAGTCTGATCATCTTCAGCATTTTGTCTTAAAAACTGCTTTCCAAGTATGAGGGACCCATGCTGTTACGTTCTTTCTGTTGCCTACTTTACACCTGATGTGGCCATATAGGTTGGCACCTTGTAGCACCACACCCATGATAACCATGGCTAGCTACCCTGAAGGAGAAGAGGCCACAAAAGAAATATATCACCCACAGCACTGGACAGGCATTAAGTCTCAACCAAAAGGTTCAATTCAGCCTCTGAAACAGGTTCGTCCTCCCG